ATTTGTGCCATGTTGATATAGGGCAAAATTTTGGTGTGCCTGCCATCACCAAAGCTTTATAAATGGGACTAGCACAAAACCAAGATGGCAGCCAAGTGCTATCCCCTATCATTATTCCCTCAATTGCGGATGTTGAACCTTTAAGAACCATTGCTCATCTTGCCAAAATGTACCATCCTCACATGAAGGGGAGTACCAGCAATACCTTGGAATAGCTTCAGGGTTTGTAGAATTACTCCCTCAACACCAAATCCTCAGAAAATGTATGCTAAGGTACAGACACATGAGGCCTGTCCATGCTCAGGAGCCTATGGAATGCTGGCTGCCACCTGGGGAGGAGAATGGCTTGAAACTGGGTGGGGATGGACCAGGGTTCCAGTGCTGGAGGGCATGGGTGGAGCTGAGCCAGCGTCCTTCCCTTGATGCTGCAACATTTCCTGCAGACATTAATGAAGGGCATAGAAGTAAGTGCATATATAAAGCTACAAAAAGTAAACTCAGTGGATGCCCAAAGGAACAGTGGGTGCCAAAGAAATTGCAAACGTCTACACAAATGTTCATTTGAAAGTACACGTGTACATGGGTGGAAAATATGCGCAGGGGTGCACAAGCATGCCTGCAGATGAACATGACATTGCGTCTTTCCCCCTTTCCTCCTTTTCTGCGAAGCCAAGCATTGTATTGTTTTCCCCCTTTCTGTTCCCCCTCCCAATCTGCCTTCCTGTTCCAGCACTATTCTCCTCCCCACTGATTTCCTACCACAGGGTGGCCTGTAGGGAGGAAAGAAAAGGGTAGGTGGGTGTGAGGGATGAAAGCTAGGAAGAAAGCTTTATAAATAGACCAGAAGCATCCAGGAATTTCTGGTCCAAATTGGAGGTGCTGAGAGAAGAGCCCAGTTCATAGACTCCACCTTATAAGATGGGATCGGGGAGATTTCTCATTTTCCTTTTTGTAGCAGGTAAGATGAGTGGGTCTAGTTCAGGGAGGGGAACTGTGTGTGGTTGTGTCCAGACTGCAAAGCTCACAGCAATTTAATCTGTCCTGAAGCTATTTCATTCCTGATGAACATTTTAAGGACGTCTCCCCTGAAGTGGTACCATCTAGATGTTTTGCACCCATTAGCAATTGTCCTTGACCACTGAAGCTGCTGGTTGGGATGATGGGAGTTGTAGTCCACCAGGGGAAAGCCGATTTCATGAAAGAAGCAGGACTTGCAAGAAAGAGATTGCAAAGTGGGGACCCCTGTTCAGGTTTCCAGCCAGCCAGCAAACAAGCCCTTTCCAGAATATTTCATTCCATCCCTTCCTTCTGTAGCTACTGAGCCTGTTTAGTCTCTACTGGATTATTTTTGGTCTTTCTCATTTTTGGATTTTCCCTCCTAAAGGTTTTTGTATCTTCTGCAAACTTCGGGGTTCTCCCAAATCTTTTAGTACCTCTTTCTTCTATCTCCCACTTCTGTGTGGATGGTGTTGTTTCTGCAACAACATGTACAGGTGTGCACAGAAATGAAAACAAATAAAGGTGTACCCAAATTGTCTTGGCACATGAATGCAAAAATACATGTCCATTTTCATGGTGATCAGAAAAAAAATGCAATTGGATGCTGAAACAAATTAACACTGAAAAAATAAGGAACTGAATGAAATTGAGTTTGACAGAGTCATCCAATTCTATAACAATTATACTTTTCCCTTACAATTTCACTTGAGAATAAAGAAAACACTAACTCTCCTGGTGTGTTTCAAAGTTTTCATGTTGCTATCCCAGGCAAATTCTGGAGAAATAAGAACTGTTGACAATCTCCCTTTTGAAGAGGTCTTTTAAGAACCTCATTTATTAGTTTGTTCTTTCCCCACAATACCAGCAATTATATCATACTTGAGTATAGAAGATCTGGCTCCTCAGTTTAATTCTTGAGTATTGATTCTTCTTGTATCAAGGTCTTCTGTTATTTTAACCTGCTGTTTGATCCTGTTGTTTTGCTTTGTCTTACAGTTGCAATATTATTCTGCTTTATGGTGCGGGTTCTCAATTTTGTGGGTTAAATGCCTTGTAAACTTTGAATACATGAAGTGCTACTACTAAGAACATGGAAAGTATATCTGGAAATTTAGCATCTCTTTCCTCCCAGTCAGGACGATCCCAAGGGTCATTAGGATGAAAGGGCATGCCTTTGAATGAGAATGATTTGGTTCAGCTTTATCCGACTTCAGTTGGGTCTCATTTTGGTTCCATTATCTTTCCAATTTCCCTACATATGGGCCACAACATTACTGGCCATCCATGTGGAGATCAGATAGTTCCACCCCTAGATTAGTGTCTGAAGAAATGAGAAGCCCTTAAGAACACAAAAGCTGGCCATTTCTTCTCCAGGGCATCATAAACCACCACCGCTGGATATGTCCCACGTATTTGGGGAAGACCTAGTGCTGTCTTCCTCATCTTGTTGCCTTCCAGATGTGCTACAGTGCCTGCTGTACCCCGGCCAGCATAGTTGTACTTCCACACATCTGGAGGACACCAGGATGGGGAAGTTCTTTTTGATCCATAGAGACATTGACTGGGTTCAGGCAACACAAAGCTTGAGTGTGGGTTATTTTTGAAAAGTGGGCGATCGTGTTGTATGCATCCAACTGCGCTAACAAGCCATGGATTGTTGGTCACGAACAACCTCTGGAGAGAACCCATGTTTTGTTGTTGGAATGTGAATTGCGGATTGCTCACCATGTTTATGGTCTTAGCTCAGTTCAGACAACATGGTAACTAGGGATGTGTGAGGAATTTGTTTTTGGGTGGAAATTTGGTGAATTCCTTAAGCTCAGCAACCCAGACGCCTGTCCACTGTATCACCGTTAGAATGAGTCCTACTTCTTGGCAAGCTGGCTGAGCATTTGTGCGGGCTCTTGCCAGGAATTGAGCCCAGGCAAATGCGGCACAAGCAGTCTTGCCTTTCCATGCATGTGACTTGCAGCCTTTGTTCATGCTGCCCATGCTGTGAAAGAAGTTTGTTTATTTATTTATTTATTTATTTATTTATTTATTTATTTATTAAAACATTTTTATGCTGCCCCATTCGCCGAAGCCTCGGGGCGGCTTACAAATAATTAAAATAACATTTTAAAATATATAAAATAAAATACAAATATATAATATAAAACATACACTATAAAACAAGCCGCCCTGGCCTAATAAAATTCAATAATATTAACATTTAAAATACTGCTTAAATAAAAAGGTCTTCGCCTGGCGCCGAAAAACAAATAACGAATAAGTTCTGTGAGTGTTTGCAGGCTTCCCTGGGGCTTGGCTCGTGCCTAAGAGCACTGATCATGGATGGACAGAAGAAGGCTGCATTCTGCAAAGGACTGTCATAGCCCTAATGATAAGTCATGTTTTAATGGTAATCACAGACACTCCACATTCAACCCATATTTTACTCCTGTGTATTGTGTTATCTGAATCCGGGCAATGATTGACTTATTTTGATTGCAAAAGAAATCCTGTATTCAATACTCCTTATCAGTTCTACTAGAGATTTGGTAATGTGTCCCTTTTATTTCCTGTGTACATTGTCAAGCATCCCCCCCATCTCATAGATTTACCGTAAGGTTACTGCATTCAGTAAGAGTAAAGTCACACCTGCCCACATCCCTGGGAACAAGTCCTATTGAACTCAGTGGAACCTACTAGGGTGACCCTGTAAGTGATTTAAAACATTTTGAGAGACGGAAAAGGTGGCCTCAGTTAACAAAGATTCAGCATATATCATTTTTAATGCCAGCGTTTATAAAATATGCTGATGTCAAATGCCTGCTTAAAAGAGGATTTGGCTCCGGTTTGGGAGAGTGCCTCTTCTAAGATGCACTCCTTATCTGCATTCTAATGTGCAACATGTGCGTGCACGTTGCAAGCACAAGGAAAATAGACCGTTCCCTCTTGCAGCTATTTTCCTCCTCGAAAAACTTCTCAGGCTAAGTAATCAACAAAACAACTACAGCTGTAATTCTGTACAAGTTTAGCCATGCTGTGCTGGGATGGTGGAAGTTGTAGGCCTTTTCCTTCTCTGAACTTGCATCCTAAGTCTCATCTAATGGATCACCTGAGATGACTTAGTAGAGCCCAGTCTAATCGTCGTCTGTTACATTGCAAAGCATCATGAAGGAATGCCTCTTGACCCATTCACTGCTTGCGTGGTGTCCTGAAAGTTTCATTTCCACTGCAAGCAGTGCCTAGAATGATTGCTTGGGCTCTTGGCCCAGCTCCAATGGGATGCTCTCAGATTAAATGAATTTAATTTCTGAGGGGAAGCCAAAATGTATGTGTTACTTATTTCTTTTCTCTCCTAGGGACTGTTTACTGTGCTGAGGAGCTGGAGATTATTCCTAGCAATGGGGATGTGTACCTGAATAAGAACACATATTTCCTATGCAAAGGTGAAAGCAAACGCTTACAGACTTAATATAAAAACAGGAGCCACATCAGTATTTTTACTCTTGCAAAATGAACAGAGTGCATGGAACAGTCCTGGTTTAATTTTCTACAACTCTAGCTAGGCAAAACCCAATTCCTGAAATCCTGGAGAGCCAGCCTTCTAGCTCAGCTGCTCTCCCAGTGTCTTGGATTAAACTTCCAGAATCTCCAAGCCAGCATGACCAATGGACGGGCACATGTTTTTGGGTTACAATGCCCATTACAGTCCCTGACCATTGGCCAGGCCAGTTAGGGCTGACGGGAGCTGGAATCCAATAACATCAGGCTGGCCAAAGGTTTCTACCCTTGGTTAACATAAGCATCACTTTGGCAAGACACAGAGTGGTGCCTTCGGATTCCACAGGTTCCCAGCAGGCTAGGCTGTGCACAAGGGAAAGAATGTGCTGATTACAGCCCCTATTTTTATGTGTGTCCAGACTGTCTCTTTCTCTGAAACATCCATCCATCCATTCATCCTGTTTTAGTAAAAGTAATTTGCCACGACCCATCTGTTTGTTTGTCAGATGAATATGCCTGTCTGTGTAGTTATTTCTCCCCCTCCCCGAACCCTCGCCAGCTGGGCAATCTGCCATGCAAACCATACTTTCTTCTACTTGGCAGTGAGAAGAGGTGGGGAAGCTACCTTGACCTGGACTGACCCAAGCGGGGAGGAAATTGAAGAAGATTCAGAGCTGTACCGACTAAAGCCAATTGATGAGCTGTCCAAGGGACTGGAGATTACGCTCTCTGACCCTGCCATGGACGGGACCTTCACATGCACAGCGCAGTTTGAATCTGGAAGGACCGCTACTGCCCAGATCAAAATCCGTGCCATCAGTAAGTGACATTCTTTTGGGCACCAGGCAACATGATGGAAATACCCAGAGTTATATAACCCAGTGTAGATTGGAGCTCCCCCATCTGGGAGACAATAGAAGGAAATGATAACAGACTTGCACATTGTATATATTGCATATAGTCTGTACTAGTTTAGCTCTTGTGGGCCATGACTCATTTGTTGTTGTTAGTCGCGAAGTTGTGTCCGACCCATCGCGACCCCATGGGCAACATTCCTCCAGGCCTTCCTGTCCTCCACCATCCCCCAAAGTCCACCTAAGCTCACACTAACTGCTTCAGTGACTCCATCCAGCCACCTCATTCTCTGCCATCCCCTTCTTCTTTTGCCATCTTTTGTTCCCAGCATCAGGGTTTTCTCCAGTGAGTTGTTCTTTCTCATTAGGTGGCCCAACTATTTGGGTCAAGTATCTTGAGTACCTGGCCTTCTAAAAAGTACTCTGGCTTGATTTCCTTTAAGATTGACTGGTTTGTTCTCTCTGCAGCCCATGATAGACTCTCTGGAGTCTTCTCCAGCACCACAATTCAAAGGCCTCAATCCTTCGGCACTCAGCCTTCCTTATGGTCCAGCTTTCATAGCCATACATTGCAACTGGGAAAACCATAGCCTTGACTATATGCACTTTTGTTGGCAGGGTGATGTCTCTGCTTTTTAGTATGCTGTCTAGATTTGCCATAGCTTTCCTTCCCAGGAGCAACCATCTTTTAATTTCTTGGCTGCAGTCCCCGTCTGTGGTGATCTTGGAGCCCAGGAAAATAAAATCTGTCACTACCTCCATTTCTTCCCCATCTATTTGCCAGGAAGTGAGAGGACTGGATGCCATGATCTTAGTTTTCTTAATGTTGAGTTTCAAGCCAACTTTTGCACTCTCCTCCTTCACCCGCATCAAGAGACTCTTTAGTTCCTCTCCACTTTCTGCCATTAGAGTGGTATCATCTGCATAGCTGAGGTTGTTGATATTTCTCCAGCAATCTTAATTCCAACTGGTGATTCATCTAGCCCCACCTTTCTCATGATGTGCTCTGCATATAAGTTAAATAGGCAGGGCGACAGTATGCAGCCTTGCCAAACTCCTTTCTCAATTTTGAACCATGACTCATAGCTTCCTGCAATTGTATGCTGGTGAAGGTGCTTGCAGTGGAAATATAGTTCAGCATCAGCACACTGAGGGACCCAGGTCCAGTCCCTGGCTTTTCTGGTTGGAAGGGTCAGGTATCAGGTGATGGAAAAACCTGGCAGGCTTCCCAGAGAGAGTGTACCAGTAGGTACCCCTGGGGCAGATGGAGACACAGTTTAGCCAGTATAAGGCATCTTCTAATAGGCTGAGCACTGTGTTTGCAATCCCTTTACCCTTCTCAGAATGTCACAGTGTCCAGGTCACCCTTTTCCAGCCTGGTGTCCTCCAGATGTTTTGGACTTCAACTCCCGTCAGTGTAGCCAGCAGTCAGGAATGCTAGAAATTGTCAAATGCAACTGGAGGCAGCACCAGGATGGAAAAGGCTGGACCAGAGCTTCCTGGAGAATGGAAATGACTGATAAACAAGAGCATAGGTGTGCCTTTTGGGACAACCTAGAGAACTCCACAATTACATACATGGGCCATTATAGTTCAATCTGCCATGTTATGCCAAATTTCTATTCCCATGGCTGAGCTTCAGAACACATGCACCCTTTGGAAAAAATGGAAATACACAAATCATTTAAGGGTACCAAGATTCCTACACAGTATTACTCCACGTGGATGTATGTTCTGCCATGTCCCACCTGCTGAATTGATCCATGTGACCAGTTAGATTATATATATATATCGCTTGCATCAAAGTTAAGATGATAATCCAATGATGCGAGTTACGCCAGTCTAAAAGCATGCCTGCACCATTGATTTGTAGCCATGTAACTGCCACGACTTCCACCAGGAACCCTAAGAATATTTGTTTGGTGGGGATGCAAAAGGATTCCTGTGGAGATCCCTTGCATTTCCAGAAAATACACTTCCCTGAGAGAGGGAACAACTCTATAAGTTTAGGCCATTTAAAAATTGTTGCTATTTTCCATGTTGGGAAGCACGATCCTATGTCCCCTAGACAGGGTCCGGAGGACCACAGGGGGTTTTGGAGTCTCAACTCTGACACTGGAAAAGAGTTCCAACACTGAACCTGAGAAGCTGTGCGCAAAGCAGTGTCTTCCTCATGCAGCCAGGGTGGAAAGAACCCCACGGGGCTGAAAAGCAATCTCAGGGAAGGGGCTTAAGGGGGCACTCCAGGGGCAGGGGAGGAAAGCTTCCCCATCTATGTATGACATATCCCGATGGCACTTCAGTCTCTCCTTCCGAAGCATGACAGTTAGACAGCCCAGTATTTCTCTTGTCTTGTCCTGTTTTGATCCCTGGTTGTGATATGCAGAGAAGCCCACATTTGTGACCAAACCGGACCCCGTGAAGGAAGTTAATGAAGGCACAAGGGTTGAGTTCAATTGTCTGACCACAGGAATCCCCCTGCCAGTAGTCAAATGGAAATTTGCAAACCAGGACATCCGCAGTACTGGAGATGGTAAGAGATTCTGTGTCACATTGCTCATAGAACAGGAGTGGAGAATCGTAGGCCTGGAAGCCCTGGGGTCTAATGGTCCTCTGAAGTTCCCCAGATGGCCATGTGCCCTTCCCTGGTTCAGCTCCCTTTCCCTGACCACCAGCTTTTTGGCAGTTTCCTCACACTTATCCCATCCCCCTCCCCTTCTGAAGGGTTGAAATGCCTTTCAAAGGCATAGTATGAGCTTCAAATAAAATAGGCCAGCATTTCGGGTTTTCTGGCTTTCCACCCAGCCCACCACTGGGATGCAACCCCTGAATTCTCCAGCCTGGTCCCTGGGCAGAAACCTTGTCTGTGTCACTGCTGTCAATGACTATCCCATGCTAACCACTTCCGATGGTGAGAGCCTCTCTGTTCCACTTGGCAGGACGGATCTCTGTGGGAAATGGGGTGTTGGTGATCCAGAAGACGCAGCCCTCCGATGCTGGTGTCTACACCTGTGAGGCAAGCATTGAAGAGCGCAATGAAGTGGCTTCCACAAATGTTACACTCAATATTAAATGTAAGAGCTGCTTTTGTGCTTCTTGGCACAGAGCCACAATTTGGACAGGGCTTTCTCAATAGCTGGTGGGGCTCCCTTCCGAATGCTGCCTGCCAAGATCTTATCTCAGGCTTACAAGGGGGTCCTGAAAACGTATTTGTTTACTTTGGACTACAGTTGAGCTAGACTTCGACTGAGGCTGTTGTTTAAATGGCTCTGGCTGAGTTTAAGTGAGTTTTGATTTGCTGCTTCTTCTGGCTGTCATCTTTATTTTGTGTTGTGATTTTGAAATGTAAAGGGGAATGTATCATCCTGAACAGGGAATAAGGCAGCACCAGAGCATGTATATAGGACTGATAGAGGAAGGCACAAATGAGTGGCAACAATTGCCTGGTCTCCCAATTGTTTTCCAGTGACAAGTGTTTGCTGCTAACCTGGTTTCTTTTCCCAGTCCGTCCCAGGATAGTGTTCCCTGCTGGAGAATCATTGGTCACCCAAATTGGGGCTCCCACCCAGTGCAACTTCACCATCCTAGCCTATCCCCCTCCTTCTGTCTCCGTGGTTTGGAAGGGGAAAGATTTTAAAGGGGATGACATCAAGCAGGTGGCCCAAGATGGAGTCAAATACACCTTCTCCTTTCAGGTGAGATCGCGGCACTTGCAGAGACTTGGTGAGACCGGGAGCGAGGGCTAGTCCTTGAGATTGGAAGGATATTTATTCTCGGGCTGTATATGGGGAGATGAGAAGGGAAGGAAGGCCATTCTGCCAGCCCTGCCGAAAGACTATTTAATCGCTTGTTCCTTTCCTATCCTGTTTTCCTTCTGTGTTGTCTCATTTTCAAGTTGGAAGCCTGTGGGTGAAGGATGTCTTGGTTTTACTGATTGCATGTAAGATGCTCCAGGAAACTGTTTGGCTGAGGAGTGTGATAAAACTACTTTTAAAAAATAATAAATGCAATGTGCTCAGGTGTGCATGTGCATGCACACACACGCACTGTACAAACCTCTTCCATATTAATGCCATACTAATTCCTACTTCACTGTGGGCTCGTCTGTGCTAGTGCTGAGTTTAAACATGGAAGATGGCAGTGTTGACCCCTGCTCAGTTCAAAGGGTCAATTCATTAACTCTGCCTGGCCCACTTTGCAAGGCTGGGAGGGTCTGATGCATTGAATCCCACACTAAACCCTTGGACCAGAGGAGAAAAAAAAAATCTTTAAGTTGCTTAATGTCTTATAAGTGGGATCATCCTTGAATTTAATCTGAGTTTTCTTTGCTGAAAATCATTACTTCACAACCTTCCAGCATGGCATTGATTCATCTCCCTCCCCTTCTCAGCACTTCTTTAACTTGAAAGCAGAACTTTGTATTCCTGGCTTTTGCTTGGGTATGACAATCCTGTTTAAGTTATTGCTTCTTTCCTCTTCTAAATGTGTGTCTATAATCATAAATTGCCCCATGCAAATGCTGTGCTGTGCAGTGCCTTCTCTCACCCTCCTTATTGTTGGTGAAGCCGAAGTGGCCGTGAACGTCCCGTCTGCTAGCAGCAGACTCCTTCTCTGAGGGGCAATGATTAGGCAGCCCAATAGCACTGGTGGGGTACAGAAGAGGAGGCACCCGCAGGGTTCATGTGCTGTCACGTGCTGTTGGTCACAGGCACTCTGGCCCTGTGAATGGAGGCCCTCTAAAATTTTTGTGCATGAACAGCCCCACAGAGCTCAATGTGCGTGGCATGCCAACTAACTGCTGTGGGATGGGATGAGGGGAGGGGAGGGAGGAGAATGAGTTGGGATCCCTGAAAGGGGGACTGTTCCTGCTGCAATATTCTAATATGTATTTCAGGGAAGCTTGTCTGCCCTCGAAGATTCCATCACTAATGAGAGCCAGTGCAGTGCAGAGGCCATGCAGCTCACAGGGTGGCTCCGGGCAACTCGCTGGCTCTCAGCCTCTCCTCCTTTTTGCAGGACCATGCATGCCGCCCTGTCCAGGGGAAAAATATCGGAATATAAATGAATGGTGCAGAGCACCATTTGCAGATGGCTGCTCCTGGCACACTCCTGAAAGAGCACCTGCCTTTTCTGCCTCTGGTTCTTCTTCCCCACGGCCGTATTCATGTCTCTGGGATCCAGAGATGGCAGGGACTCTCATGAAAAATAATTCCTGGTTCATCACTTGGCCTGGCGATAGGCTGCCCCACTCCCCCTCCTCTATACACACCCTTCCGTGGTCAACACACGGCTTCTTGGTTTTGTGGGGAAACCCAAGATTTGTTTTGTTTTGGTCTGTTGTTTTGTTTTTGACAGTCATTTAGAGAGAGGAAGTTTGCAACCCTTTCCCCCTCCCAGCTCAGCAGACACACCATCCTTCCTGCCCCTGTCACGCACTGGAAACTCATTATCCCCTTTGCTGCTTTACTTGGAATAGTCCTCAGTGCAATGCCATCCATTTGGTTATGTTTGAACTCTAATTCCTGAACAAGGACTCGTTGTTTGTAAGCAATTCTCCCTAGCCGGCTTTTTCTGAGCTGGCAAGCTCCACAGAATGGAATCTAATTACTAAACATTTTCCTCCAGCATCCATCTAATTCACATCTGCCTGCCAGGGCTACTAGCTACGAGGCATCAAAACCCATCGGTGGCCATGTAAGCGGTCACTGAGTCGGCATGCCCAAGGCTGCCTCGAAAGCTTGGATGGGCTGCTCTTCACTCCGCACAGAGCAAGGCCATTCTCAGTCTCGTCCATTCTACTGGGCAGGGAAACCAACTTAAAATGTTCTGTTCTAGTTCACACCAGAGTCAGCAGAAGATATTTCCGGACTCCACATAAAAGCTGTCAATGATGCGGGCAGCGAAGACAAGACGCTTGCTCTTCAAGAAGGTGAACTGCACACCTCCAGGCTTCAGTGGTTGGGTTGGGGTCAGGAGGTCCACATCACAGGTCTAAACGGATTTTAGCCATCGTTTTCTCCCTGTAAGGAGCCCAGGCAGCTGTGATTCTCTGAGGTGGGATGGGGATGGCTGCTTAAGAATCTCTAGAGAGTTCTGCATGGGCCCCAAACCTCCCTATAATTCTTGGGATTCTTGGATTATTAAGCTGGCAGTGTAGATTGGGGTGGGCATGGGCCATGCTGGCTAGAGAGGATGGGAACTGTAGGCCAAACCGTCCAAAGAACCACAAGTGGCTTGCCCCTGGTGTAAACATACCTTCACTGTTAGTGAGTCATCTACTTTACTTAGGGCTGTGCTGAAGTTTCTCAGACTTCTTTTGGGGCAGGGAAGGCACTGCTTATAGGATTTCATTTTTAAAAGGCCCATCCTGAAAAAAGGGTCATTTGGATCCATATTGACCAAATATTCTCCACCATGTTGTGTGTGTGTGATGGGAGTAATTTTCCCCTCCCCACCAATGTCCTGGAGCAATGCTATTCCAGGACCTTGTAGGGTATACAAAACGGTGGCCAGGCTGTCAACCCATAGGCCCTGCTGTTGCTTGCAAAGGCAAAAATGGATGGATGGATGACACCTCGGAAGACAGACTCAGGCTCCAGGACAGATGCTGATGTGAGCTCTGTACCCCAGAAAATATCAGATAGTCTCCATACCCACACCCAAATATTTTCTACATAGTATGAAATGAAGTGAATTCAGTGAAGATGGACCAGGAAGAAGAAGCTTCCACCTGCAGGGCAGAGGTAGGGAAGAGGCCATAGGCTTTCCAGGTTCCTCCTCACTGGCTTTTGTGAACAGCTGTTGCTCTCCTCTTCCAGAGACTCCAGACAAGGGCTTGGGAATTGGCAGCATCTTGGCCATTGTGCTGCTGATCCTCTTGCTGGTCCTGATGGTGGTAGATGTGACGTGCTACTACAAGTGCCGGCGTGGCTTGCTGATGTGCTGCAGAGCCAGCCTGCTGGGCAAAAGCGCATGTGGGGCAGGCGTTGAGAGCCCTGGGTGAGTGAAGTGCGGCTGATGCAGGGCATGGGAACCAAAGATGGGTGTGGCAGCGATAGGAATCGCAGCTCATCTTTGTCCTCAGATGGTCTCCCAACACCAGTCTCTTGTCTCCTGATCATGTCCCATACATATGATTCCGCATCTGGTTGGTTCCACTCAAACCTGACTGTGGGTGGTAGCTTCCGCCAGTTTTCCTCTCTGTTATAGTTAGTTCAGGTAAAATCTAAAGCAGGACAATGGCAGTTTAATCCTAAATCTGGGGTAATTAATTCTTGGTAGCCAGAGGTGCGTAGCAGTTGCTTGCAGGTGAGCAAGGGAAGGCCTAGTGACAGAGAATTCTGATTAATCTGCAGAACACAGGGGTGAAATGCAAAACCTCAGGCTACTAACCTCTAACTTTGTTTTTCTTTTTTTTGCACACTACATTCTTTTTGGCAGCCGTTTTTCAAGGCTGTTTTAAATGCACATATATTTAAATTAAGTACCATAATCAGGCAGATAATATAGGATTTCCTTGTAGGGATGATTCAACATGCAATGTTTGAGCTTTTTGAAGTTCTCTGAATTCTTCCTCAAAGCTCAGTTTGTCTTATTTGCATTACCAAATATGAGTGTGTATTTTTATCCATTTGGGAAAGAAGGACCATTTTTAAAAAGTGTCCACCCACCACACGCTCTTTCCCTTCCCCAGTAGATTAAAAAATGAAAATGTGGTTGGATGTGTGCAACATGCAAATTTATACCATTGCATATTTTCAGAAGGGCACGCCTGTGCAAATGCACACTTCTCCATGGGAATGCAGGTTCAGGAAATTATGAAAATGCCCTAGAAATTGTGCTACCTGCAGCTGGACTTGCAAATGGAATAGAAATTGAATCCTCACATCAATTTATTCCCTGCTTCTGAGGATTAAAACTGGTGCCTATCCAGTTGGTGATTAATTTCAGCTCATGGTGCGAGATAATATACAACATGAGCCATATTGCCCAACATTTTTATTTGTACGTAAAAGCATCCACTGGGAAGTGAACAGAAGTTTGGCTTTTGACTGGCACACCAGCTGCAAAGAAGGGAGATCTGTACCTTTTTCAGCACTGAAAACAATAACTACATAGGTGAAAAATGGGGAGAACAAGCTCAGTTCCCTTCCTTCCTGAATGCTAATGCTCCAATCCAAACTGGAGTGCCCAGCAGTTGCTTCTATACGATGAAAACACACGGATTGCTTCTGGCCCATGTCATTCAACTTTCTGAAGTCTGTGCTAAATATGATTTAAGATTGGTTCCTACCAATGCTTTTAGGGTGACAGGCATGGGCTCCATTTTGAGTGGCAATTGTTTCCCCCACAACTCCTGCCACCAGAGGAAACTCCTGAAAACTCTGTCCTGCTCAGCTATGCTTTATTTCTGGCTTCTCTCCACAGAAAACCACTTTCCAAGGCAGGGAAAAGCACAGTGGTGAATGTCTCCGGTATTGAGGCCTGATTAGTCTTCAGCAATGGACTCATGAAGTGTTGGGCTTGCAGCAAAGCTTGGACTAGTTATGCTGGAAAAAGAAAGCCAAGACTACTCCTCCCTTCCCAGGGGCTTAGAGCACCCTTGCGGTCCTTCCTTGTCCCTATCCTGCTGGAAAAAGTAGTAGGTAGACTCACGGCGTGCTGTTCCCTGCTGCAGTGCTGCAGAACTGGAATCAGGCCACGTTGCTCCTTCCACCAGGCTCTCCATTGACCAGCTGTGCCAAGGGGCAAGGTCCTGCCCTCCCTCGGTCCATCTTGCTTCCCCTGTGCTGAGACATGCCTGGGGTTCCGTGTGCCTCTTGGCAGAAGAAAGGGACTTAGAAACATAGAAACAGAGCGAGTCAGAAGGCACCTCCCGGGCCATCTAGTCTGACCCCCTGCTCCAGCCGGTTCCGCTCATGACATGCCTACCGCGTGCATGTCCAGCCTATCCTTGAACACCCTCACTGATGGGGCCTCAATGACCTCCCGTGGAAGCCCATTCCATTCCCTTGGGGTCCTAACTGTCAGGAAGCGCTTCCTGACATCCAAACTGAAACTTGGCTCCCTGAGCTTGGCTCCGTTGGAGCGCGTCCTGCCCTCCTCTGCACGGGTGGGGGGACAGGTCTCCACCCACCTCCGTGTGGCACCCCCTCATGTACCTTGGCCAGCTCAGGGAAGGAAGGCTGACAGCTGATCTCTGAGGCTTTGTGTGGTTTGCCTTTTTTCCATGGGGAGTCTGAACTGCACAAACCCACTGAGTTGCTGATGATCTGAAGTGACAGTGGGGGTTCCTCCAAGAGCTCAAGTTAGGAGGGGAGTTAGGAGCTCAAGTTAGGAGGGGAGTTAGGAGGGGAGGCTCCACCCGCCAAAGCTCCTTAAGCCCACAGGGTAGGGGCACCACATCCCTGCTCTGAAATTCTGGTACTGGGTTTCCCCTCATCTTTGAGCAGCACCGGACTCCTTCAAGTCTCATGTCACACGTCCGCTCCGCTCCGACACTGGTTCTTCTTTAAGCATAGCCTGGCGGTTTATCTGCACTTTGCTGCTGTGCTACGTGTCGCTCTGGTATAGCCTATGACATTCCAAGGTTCCATTCAGCAGCACTAAGGAGCCGTGGCCCTCGCTTCCCTAGCTCGCCTTTCACCCATCCTTTCGTTCCCATGCTGGGCTTCATATGAAGGAGCCTCATGAATCTTACTGCAGCCAGATGGTGGATGACTCAGAAAACTGGAAAGAACGTAGTTGTGGATTTGATTTAATAATAAACATCAAGATGGGATGAGCAGGGATTTGGTGAAGTGGTTGACTGTAATTAACTCTGGAGTGTAGACGCATGCAATGCATCATTTCTTCCATTTAGGACTGTCATCACATTCACTCTGAAAATAAATCTAGAATAGAAGTGACATCTTTGTGAACATGGAATCATGTGCTGAATCTGAAGAAGACAATATGCTCACTGCTTCTGCAGGTTGCACTTAGTTCTGTTTGCAGCAACCTTACAACTTTTTTTAACAGGATCAAGGCCTTGGATCTGCACGTTAATCACTGTTCCACTGTAGCATGGGTTGTGTAGTTAGACCTTGAAAGCTTCTGTACATACGCATATGTACATATTCATAAGCATTTCAGAATCACATTACGTAAGTGAGGTTTGTACTCTAGAAAACTCATGGTACGGCATAACGATGAGTGAAGCATATAATTATAGGTCTACAAATTCCATAATTCAGCACAAGTGTGGTCAAAGTATGTATGAATAGAAAAAAAGAAACCATGGCCTGAAAAATAATAATAGGTAATGTGAAAATACCTGTGGGACCAGTCATGATTTTACATCCAAGAAACAGCAAAGAAAGGAAAATTTTCTTTGAGTTTGTTCAGTGCATGCTCTGTTGATTTCTGCAGGAAAACAGAACATCTTGATTGCAAGGGTCATCTGTGTTATTATAGCAGTCTGCCCCATCTGAAGAGCTAGAATATTTCTGAATCCACCAGAGGATAACTTGCAGAATGGCAAAGTTAAGTGACTGTCTGCAAAGAGGCTCTCCTAAGTGGCATGTCTAAGCCTAGCTTTGGTATCTTCACTTGTGATATACGTGGGGGGACATGGTATCCCTCTGTAAGTCCCTCCAAGGCTGCCACAAAGAGGAAGGTCAAGATCTCCTCTTGCTGATGCCAGAGTGCAGGACACGGAATACTCAGTTCAGGTTGCAACAGCCCAGATTCAGGCTGGACATCAGGAAGAGCTTCCTCACTCTCAGAACAACGCAACAGTGGGACCAGCTGCCTGGAGAGGTGGGGGGCTCTCCCACACTGGAGACATTCAGAAAGGAACTGGGCAGCCATCTGAGTGGGGTGGTGTAACGTGATGACCTGCAACAGCAGGAGGTTGGACCCAGTGGCCTGCACGACCCCTTCCAACTCTACTATTCTATGATAATACCGACAGCCATGTGGAAACGTCTTCCATATTTCTATCCCACTCTCATTCCATTTGGTAGGAAAGAAACTACTTTCAACCCTTTATCTCCTGAGAGGAAAATGAAATTTCAGGCACTTTTGGTGGATGGAGTGTGGAGTTCTTTTGCATCTCTTAGTCATCAGGGTGTGTGCATGCGTGTCCTGTCTTTCATCACACATTCATTGTCAATTACATTGTTTAATAACATCTCCAGTGCTCTGAAGCCTTCCCAGCTTCCATGAAATTCCAGTGGAAGTTGTCATCTCATGGGAATTTTTTGAATCAGGAAGCATGAGCATCAATGCCCATAAACATCCATGCACTTGAACATGGACGACACTTCTATGCATATTTAGATAGAAAAAAGGTCTGCAACTCCCAGCATTCCCCAACTAGCATGAAAGGCTGAAGGATCATGGGAGTTAGGTCTTTTTTTCTTTCTAAACATACATAGGTTTGCACTTTTAGAGATGCCCTTACTACGCATTAGCTCACTTTCGTACTTCCCAAACTGTGCAGCTCCCCCAGATTGTATTTTCACACTTTAGTTAATGGGGAAAATGTATTTTAGCCAGTATTTTGTTTTGTTCTATGACTAAAAAAATATAGAAAGTTTTTTTTTTTAAGTCTACAAGTCTGCAACTCAGCCTTGCAACTCAAGAAGAGCTATTCTGCTGTAGAATCCATGGGTTCTGCTCATAAAAATCTGAACTCATTTGTCTCTGCTGTAAGTGTACAGTAATGATAGTCCAAATGAGTTGCAATCCTTCTGGTCCTCTCTGGTTTGAGCAAATATCAGTAATCATTTCTGAAACAAATTCAATCTGAAAAGCAAAATACGCAGTCTTAAAGTCACCTGAGATAATAAGCAGTATGCAAATGATCAGGTAAATATAGATGAATAAAAATCAATGTATCACTAACTTTTCAATATAGAACTCTGATATCCACATCATGTGACTATTGCATAGAATAAAAGGTGCTGCTGCTAGGAAAGAACATTCCTCCTGTATTCTGAACTATGTGAAGAAATAGAACAACCTTGTGCTAATTTTCCAGGTAGAACTAACTTAAATCCAGTCCATGATGAAGCTAGCACAGTTCTATCCTTGACCTAAATTGCATTCCCCAACTTGGTGCCTCCAGTAATTTTGGAACTGGACTGATGGAAGCTGAAGTCCAAAACATCTGCAGGGCATCAGGTTGGGGAAGAGGCCTGAACAAAGATAAAAGGGCAAATTAAAATAGTTGGGGACTCTCTAACATTTGTGAAAGAGACTTTTGCTGGTCCAGGCTGGGATTTCCTAGGTTAATGCTGGTTTACCCCAGGACTTCTACCATGTAGAAAAAATCTCCACGGTCCATAAGATTAAACACACACAAACATTGCACTTGCTAATTTATGTATGCTTTAAAGAGGGTGAAGGAACTTGTTTCCTAAGAAGAACCTCTTTTGCAGCAGGGGATATTTGGTCAGTGGTGAAGAAGGTATTTGATTTCAGAAAAAAGTGAGTCAGAAGGATTCAAGGGGGAGGCAGCAGGAGTGATAATGCAAGGGGGCAAAAGGCCAGCAGGGTGGTGAGGCAGATGGGCTCCTGAAGATCTGGGGTTCCTAGGCAAAGATTCAGGGCTCCATCCCTAGGGGCACCGTCTAGCCTCATCTTTGACTTCCACTAGGCAGGGCAAACGGGCTTCTGGAGGAAGAATCAAAGCCTGAATACGGCTCTATGCTACGAAAGAAGCATAAGACGAATGTTGTGCCTGAAAGTGCCAGCTTATTCCTGAGAACTGCAGGCCTTGGAATGCGATGCCGCTTTGCAATTACAAGGAATATTCTGATCTGTTTATTCGGGGAACTGACCAAGAAGACACATTAACTCAGGGAAAGGGCAACCACAGTGAAATCATCGTGTCTCAGGCTCCAAAGGTCCAGGATACAGCTGATGTCATGCAGCTTTCCCTCTGCCGCCCTTCATTAGGTGCTGCCAGGGGGCAAATGTTGCCCCCTGCCGTGCAAGATCCCTGGAGCAAGCCAGTAAGGCAGCCCAATCACGGGCTCACAGTTCTCACAGGATCTATGAGAAAAGCAGGGCTGTTTTCCTAAACCAGTGGGACGCTCCTGTGAAAATCCTTTCCTTCTGTATGGATGCCAGAAGACTGGGGATTTCACTCGCATCGCCTTTTCCAGAGAGCTGCTTGGCAAGTGCATGGCACATCTAATCTTTTAGCTGGAGTTGCTAAAGATGAAAGCCTGTGCATTATATTGGTAAGGCACTCCTTTGTACAAAAAATAAAAATAAAAATGCTGCCCCAAGAATGATCTTGCTCTTACCATTCTCTACTATATTCCAACACTAAGCCCTCTAAAATTCCATTTTTTTTGACAGATTCATGCCTTGTTCTACTGATGTGCAATTCAGCCACTGAAGTTCTCCAAATTCTTTCTTGAAGCATATTCTGACTTGCATCCATTTCAGCTTTGGGTTTTTGTTTCCCTTCCTGCCTCAAAACGTCTGTGCATCTACATGCATCTTTTTCAAATGCATCCATGCATCCAGCAAGCACAGCTTTCAAAAGGATGCAAGCTTCTTCAATCAATTAAAGCATATTTGTGTGCATTTTTCGAATATACATGTTCTCTCAAATGCATTTTTGTGACTGCACGTTGTGCTGCAGGCTTAGGACGTAAAGATTTCAACCACCGATTTAATTCGTGTCAGTGTTTTGTCCAGAAGGCATAAACTAGTTAAATCCTGATCAAAACTGAACTGGAATGAATTCTCATGCATCCCAACCCTGTCCTCAGTTTTGCAAGGTCATTGTATAAGCATACATACATTAGTACACAAACACATGCTGTGCTTGGCAGCTGGACCTCATGCTGGCCATTTGAGGTCAAACTCTTCCCATCTGACCCTGGCTTTTGTTAATGATAAGTTCTTCGTTTGCCTTGTCAGGAGTCCAAGAGTTTTGCTCTGAGCAAGGGGCAAAGGGCATCAGGGCCAAAGCATCGAAGATGGCAGATAAAGTTCTGGGAGGAAGTCAGGATGACAAAAGTGGGCCGTGAAAGCTGAACTTAGGCTGTGGTGAATAAGAATAAATATGGTGCCTTAAAGGTAGACCATTGCTTAGTGGAGAACTCTTGGCCAATTTCAGAGGGACTAGCTGCAAGTTGCTACGATTCTTCCAAGGAATTTGGGTCTTGTTCAAGCTTGCTCTCTTCTTCATAAACAAGAATGCATATTCCCAATAGCTTAACTGAGATAAGTTAGGTCAATTCTGAGACATTCAGTCTGCAGGCCATGCTGGCCCATCTGTCTTCACAGAATGACCTCTGGACTTCCCGAGAGAGTTCCACTCCTTTCTCTGGCTCCAACTCCTTTTTAGCAACCATCTGTCATGGGATGGTTTCCCAGATTTTGTACAGTCCTTTCCTCGTCCCAGTCTAGAAGTCTGAAATACATCTCATAAGGCTTAGTTAGTGGTTGTAAGAGCTTTCAGCTATAATTAGCTGGTTGCCTTGATCTTTCTGGTTATTTTGGTCCATTCAGTTTTGACTTCCTTTTTCTCTTCTCTTGGAATGCAGCTTCTGGGAACATCTCCGAAATTCTATTAAACTGTGTCTTGAAAGACCTCTGCCTTAATTGTTAGGAGATCCAAAGCATTTAGACTGACCCCAGGGACCTAGTGTGGCCTCCATTTTCATGGCCAGTGTTTATGGCATGAGCGACCAGCTTAGAGGGGCTTTTGAAAGAGGAATTTGGAAGCCTGCTTCAGATGTGTTGCGGTGGACTGTAGGAGTGGAGCACAACCCCTAATAGTCATGATGGTGGGTGCTACAATGAGTCCAGAGAGTCTAAACTATGCAACTTTGGACATGCTCAGAGTTTTTCCTTTTTGTTTATTGCATTTGCCCTAACTGGTCAGGAATGTAGTTGTAAAGCACAGCGATGGCGGTGGGAAGATATCTTACTTTTGGATGCTCAGTGTGCCCTTTACATTTAAGGTAAGTTGGGGAGGAATCTTTTGGGCTTGAGACTGATAGGTCGAGTTAGATTCCTAGCCCTGAGGCTGGAGATGACCCCTTGACCTCAGAGCTGGAAACTGGAGCTCCAACCCCCATGCCTCTCACAACCAGCATGGAAAAAACAGTGTCAGCTTCTCTCTGAGGTCTGGAAAGTGACCCCTTGGGAGCAGGGGAGAAGGGGATGTTTTAGAGGAGGTGTGGAGCCTTGAGTGGCCAGGTATGAGCTATCCTGAGGCCCCCCCAGCATCCTCCCCTTCCTTTCAGAAATGGTCCAGCTAGATGGCCAAAAAGCCCATCTAACTAAGTATACTTGGTGAGGGGCTGGAGGCAAAGATCATCCTGGCTGCTCCTCCCTCTCTTCACAGGATTATCATAAAGGTTTGGGGGCTTACAGACATTGCAAGAGCATTGCACCCATTGAAATTGAAATCAGCCTTCTCCATTCTGCTGCCTTCCAAATGTTTGGATTTCAGCTCTTATTTTCAGCCAGCATGGCTGGTGGCAGGAATGCTGGGAACTGTAGTCCAGAACATCGTGTGAGTTGATCTATACAATTACATAATTGAACCACAGCTTGCTACCTGTTGGGGTCATCTCTGCTTAACTCCTCTAGGCAGGCGATTTCCTTTATTCCTACCAAGATTAAGCCCTGGAAAGTTTCTTTTCACGATCCATTAAAGCAGAGGAAACCTTGGAAAACAAAAGTAAAATTGTCACATTCTGTGCCACAATGCTCACGACATGACCTCTTTGGTCCACTTCCTCACCTGAGAAAGATCATTTTTCCTGTTAAAATAATCCACCCTGATTTGTATATTATTGGAGCAGGTCCAAGTTCCCTGTCAGCTTGTCTGCTTTGGCCGTAAGTGTGAATTCTTACTTAAACTTCAGAAGGAATCCAGGTAACATCTTGCTTTATTCATTTTTGTTTTCTTCACTTTCACAATGATATATTGGCTTGTCCTCTAATTTTCATCAATGGCAGGGTCTGATGTTCCAGTTCACATTTGCCAAATTAGATGGTTTGCAGGCAGATAGAGCTAAATGCAGATTTGCGACTGAGTGGCTTCACCGGGAAAAGGTCGGAAGTTCTGTGCAGGCAGAGCAAATGCTTGTACAACTTCATGCGCTGCAGATATGAAACAGGCAACATTTCTGCAAAGTGGAGCCATGCATATACGCTTCACATCAGCCCAGAAGGTTCCGTTATATACAAGTAGTTAAACCTTGCCTTATCTAACTAGACATGACACACAAGGAAAAGGGGATGGGGAGGGAAGAGGGGGAAAATCAAGTATTCCTGCAGGAGGGCTCATGGCATGGCAGGCACTGTGTAGCTGCAAACTCAACGCTTAACTGGTTGGCTCCGCTGTTTCCGTAGCTGCTGCGGTGCTGTGGATGAGCCATAGGCAGGTGTCTGTGGAGAACCAGGAACTATGCTAAGACACCTGAGTCAGAAGAAGGCTGATATTCAGGTGAGGCCTGGGTCCCAACAGGAAGATTTTCGTAATCCTATCCAGGAATGTCCAACGGCCAGCTGGAGTAGACAAAAGGCAATCAAACACTTGGGAATAATATACTACCAGTAAGATGCCCCAAACTGCATTTCTGGTGACCCTCTATGAGGGGGCAGCTCCATGGGGACCCGGAAGATCCTGGTGGTTCCCAGTGCAAACAAGCAGCAGGACAGAATAACGCTTTGCCATAGATAGATAGCTTAGCTCTCCAGAGTGCACATCATTTTGATCTCTCAGCTCTGCAGTTCCTACTGGCACCCCATAAGCCAAGTGCGATCTGACAGCAAGGACAGTGCTCGTTATAAAAGGGGACAATCAGTGCATTTGGCCATGTAATTGATGCAAACTATTCTGATGCCAATAGGCCGTCCTTGACCTCTTCTGCCAGTTCTAACTCTTCTCTTCCACTGCACACACATATACAAACATTTGATCTGGGAAAAATATACTGAAGAGACAGACAGATTCTTCCTTCATTGAATGCACCTCAAAATATTCTTCTATTCCAGAAATTACAGCCACCAGCTTTGAAATTCCACATCAGCAGGTGAGTGGGCCACACTTCTGTCTGAACAGCAGGTTTTCCTCCTTTCAGCCTTGGTCTGAATCCCTTGAGATGAAACACTGACAGTGATAGAAATAACACCACAAGGACCATTCAGTTTATCTCAAGTTCTAGAATAGGGTTGCCAACTTTTTTACAGGCCTGGCTCCTATGCTTGTATCAGCAGCTCGATCTGCAGATTTTAGACCTATTTTCAAGATGTGAACTTCATTACATTCCATTTCCTGCAGAGTGACAGATGATCCACACCAGGCATTTTTACAGGCATTGCAATGCTCACCTCACTGGCATGACCCATGACACCCTAATGCATCCTCCATGTGCCCTTTCTCCATGATCTTCTGCATTTCTTCAGACCAGGTTTTTATATGTAGTGGTTTCCTTCCCCCTCTCTCTCTCTCTCTGTCTCTCTCTCAGTATGCGCAAAACTTGCCACACTGCTCTGGGGTGGAAGGAGCAGCCTCAGTGGGCTGGAAGGGAAGAGGATATGACCTGTCAGAGCTTCAGCAAAAGAGCAGCAGCTTTGAGGAGAACCTTCATTTGTTGCCTTCTGGACCTCACCACCTTCTCATTGTCTGTCTGTCTATCTGTCTGTCTGTTGGCCTGTCTCTTTCTGACGTGTCCAGTGGTAACTGGGGAGTAAATGCAATGCTCCTTCTCTCTTCTTTTTCCTGCCCTGAATAGGCATGTCTACTTAGAGTACACTAAATAATCATCAATGGCCTTACTCAGAAGTCAATCATGCTGACTTCAATTGAACTAACTTGGAGGAAAGTCAGCACAGGAGAATGGCTGTACCTACTTTCCAGAACTTGCGTTAGGGGTTAGGGCTAAAAGCACACCGGCTTTACCACATGGGAGGCAGGAGAATTTAGCCAAGCCTAAATGATAATTGCAAGTCAATGAGAATTGCCCATTCTATCATCTCTGTGTGTGAGACAGTGGGCTGTGCTCCATTCACTAATATGCTCTATTCACAAAAGCAGTCTGTGAACTGAGTTTTCCCCTTGCAATATTATAAATGTGATAAAAAAAGCAGAGGTAAACAAAGCATCTTGGAGCAAGACCTTCTGAGAAGGGAAGTGATCATGAATACTCCATAGACTAACAGACTGATAGAAACCATTATACCAAGGATTCCACATTCCCTGCAACTTGCAAAGCAGTCTTTGGCTCAAAAAACGGTACACAACACTGTCTATAAGGGGAGATTGCGTACCTCTGCCTGTACCTCTAGTGTACTTTAGGGCAGTCGCATGCAAAAATGCATACGTGTGGGATATTGTTTGCAAAACAATTGTTTACAAAATTCATAGATTAAGGAACGTTACATATGACTCTAAATGCAAATTATAACTTGGTATGGACTTATGAGTGAATACATGTGAAAATGATTACGTCCTGATACAGACTGATTTAGGGTTCATTCATTCCTAAATGTAGCTGCTCATATGTTATATTCCAGCCAGCCAGCCAGCCAAATATTGCAGATATTGTTCTTTGCTGTTCCACCTCTCACCAGTGTGTGTCATTGTAAGCACGCACAATCTGCATGGGTGAAAGCACAACTCACTAAGCTGTTTTCTCTTTCCTAGGCTGGGTGATTGCATGGACTCACAATGAGGCATTACGTTTGGCTTCTCTTCCTTCAGGGTAATATATGTGCAGAAGAGCTCTGTTGTACTTTCTTTGAGTGGGGCCCTCCAGGCTGCAACTTTCCACGGTCCTAGCTAGCATAGCCCCTGGTGAGGGATGGTAGAGGTTGTCTTCCACCAGTGTCTGGAGGGCCACACATTCCCCATCTCTGATCTCGTGTAAACATGGCGATGAAGGAACTCAGTTCATCCATATTAGGTAAGATGGTACCCTCCTGATGCTTTGGACTGCAACTCTCATAAGTATCAGCCAGCATAGTCCATGACCAAGAATTATGGGAAATGCAGTCCAAAACATACAGAAGGCACCAGATCACCTTCCCCAGCTTGGTGTCTTATGGAACAAACTGCAACCCTTCCATGCATTTACTCAGGAATAACTCAGAATTGCAGCTGTGTGTGAATAGCTTCTCAGAATTCACCTCCTTATTTAAAGGCAATAAAACTGGGTGGTGGAGATGGGGAATAACTATCTTGGTGGTGGAGATGGGGAAAGAAGAAATTGTACAGCTTTTCCTTAGGGGCTTGGTTCACTGTTAGCCAAGGCATAGCTAGGGATGTGAGGGAAATCTGCAATGGATTCAGAAAACTCTGGATTTCCATAGCTCATGCATGCTACAGCATGCCATCTTTTCCCACATCCTGTGGATTCTGCAGACTTGGTGGAACAGAGTGTTACTTCCATGGAGTGGGACGGGCTTGTGCTGTTCTGCATTAGCACTAATGCACACTTTTGGTAAGGCACGTAATTGCTAATGCAAATTAACCCTGAAGTGAATTATTGCTAATAGAGAGGATATTTGTTTATTGTACTACTTCTGATTCCATCAATGAGCAGATGGTGGGACAAAGCATGAATGACTTTCTGCAAAACACAAACAAAACAGTTCAAAGAAAATCTGTCCATCTCCAACAGAAGCACAGATTCTGTTTTTTAATCTTTCAAGGGCTGTTTTGAACAGTCCTTGCTTTGATCAGCAATCCTTCCCATTCCATGCAGAAACAACATTTAAAACTTATCTCAGACTGCAAAATAATGGCTTATGCAAATGGGGTTTGAAGAATGGAAATCCATAAACTTCCTGGGCAAGTGGAACCACTGGTTTGATTCTTTGCATCAGTTGAATCTGCTGCACAGAATAGGGTAGCATTTATATGGAGAGCAGAGAGTTTATAATATTATTTAAAAAAATCTGAGTTCTAATCAGCATAATGTAAGCCTGGGCAAAACTGGCAAGCTCTCCAGATGTTCTGAACTACATTAGAAGTAAGACTAGCAAGCACTTTTAGAGAGATGAGGAAACATCCTGGTTCCATCATTCATTCCCGAGCCTCAGAAGCAAAGGGAATCAACTGGATCATTCAAGCAGACAGGGAGAAACTGACCAACATTTTCCATATGTTTCTGCATTCCAGGTTTCCTCTGTAGAAAAAACCCAATGAGCATAAACCCCAATTTCCTGATTGCAAGGAAAGGATCCTGTGTTTTCATTCCATGCCAGATCGATGAGGCACATTATTCTGATAAAATCAAGGCCACTACTGTGGTCTGGTATTTTGAACCACACTGGGATAACATTTCGTATGACTTTACTGGTCACCTGTTGTTTGACAGCTCTAAAAGCTCAGAGGACCACATGGCCTTGACAAGTCCCAACTTTTGGGGCCGGGTAAGGTTTGTAGGGGATTTAAGCAGGAGCGATTGCAGTTTGATGATCACTCAGCTCCAGGCCAGTGACAGTGGCAAATATGGAGCACGAGTGGCTGCTTCGGTTGGAAACCATACTTGGCGACAGATGCTGTTTGACCAGGCTACGGTTGATATTCAGGGTAAGTCCTGGGAAGAGCTGCTTTTATTTCACCATCACCCCATAGAAAAAACCCCTCTTTGTTGGGGCTATGGATGAGCAAGCACTACAGCCGCTAGGAGGTGGGCTCACTCAGGAAGCCCTGCCCAAGTGGAAACTGATCAATGTCAGGGGTGCTCAGCTCCAGGCCCTGGGGTCAAGCACTGCCCTCTCGCATTCCCAATCTATCCTGACAAAGTTGTCCAGATGGCCATGTCCCCTTCCAGTATCCCCATGCCCCCAACCCAGTGGTTTTACAGCTTTTGAGCAGATTTTCCTACTCTAAAAGCTTGATCTGCTTCTTGTAAGGTTGACTAACTGGCAGTAAGAGCTTTAAGCTAAAATATGCTGATATTTTTGGTATTTTGGATCCACTGCTTTTGTCTTTGGTCTGTCCAACACTGAAATGTGCCCCCCACTCCCGGTAGCCTCTCTGAAATGGAATGCCATTCTCAGGCTGAAAGAGGTTCAGTGCCCCGGTCTAGTGTTCTCCCTTTCCATTTCTGGTTGCAGAATCACTTCCAGAACCCAGGATAGAAGCCATAAATGTGGAAACCCAGGAACAGAGGATAACAAACGTTAAATGTTCGGTGCCTTACAATTGTCCCAGTGATTCAAGTACCTTGACTCTTAGGGGCTTAGAGAAGCATCACTTGTTTCCACGAAATTCAACCATTGAAGGAGGAATGCTACAGATAAATGTTAGTTTTGTACCAACTTGGGAAGATGACCAGAAAATCCTGACATGTCTGCTGAGCAGCAAGGATGGGACACAGAGATCCAGCAGTACGCTGGAGCTGGATGTGAAATGTGAGTGTGGAGTAGAAAAGGAATAAGGAATTGTGGGTAGAGTTCTCTGACGTGACCCAAATGCAGTTCTGATTAGCTGTATGGAGAGAGATTTGTTCTGCTCACTTTTAATGTAAACTTAGCTAATTTCATACTTTCAAACCAGTGTGGGGAGCAAAGCTCAGTTTTCCTTGGAAATTCACATTTCCCCAAATTTTGCTACAGTGCTTTCTATTCAAAATGCATTCAGGAATTTCTACATGGGGAAAGTATAAATTGCATATAAAAGTGCAATGCCCTCCAGAACAGGTTGAATATCACTCATCTGGACAGGTGACCCTTCCACTAGCAGTACCTCCATCTTGTCTGGATTGGGTCTCTGTTTATTGACCCTCATCCAGGCCATTACCATGCCCAGTCACTGATTCAGAACAATAATTGCCTCACCAGGATTTTATGAAAAGAAGAAATGGAGATGGGTGTCATCGGCATATGGATGACATCTCAGCCCACACCTCTGGATAACCTCCCCCAGCAGTTTCAGGCAGATGTTGAACATAACCGGGAACAAAACAGCCTGGGGAATCCCATCACATCACTGCCGAGGCACAGATCAATCCCCCAGCACCACTTTATGGAATTGCCCGGTCAAGTAGGAGAGGAACCACTGCAATGCAGTGCCTTCAGCTCCCAATCTGGACAGCCTGTACCACAGCTGATGGCAACAAAATCTGCTGAGAGATCCAAAAGAATCAACAAGGCTGCACTTCCCCTGTCCCTCTCCCAGAAAAGGTCATCCAACAAAGGCAGTTTCTGTTCCAACACTAGTTGAAGCCCAGTGGGAATGGGTGTAGATAATCCATGTCTAGATAACCAAGATGCTTGGAGTTGACCGGTGACCACCCAAGCGATCACCTTGCTCAGGAAGGGAATATTGGCTACTGGCCAATAGTTATTGTCATTTGCCAGGTCCAGGTTAGGCTGTATGTTTTAGAAGTGGCCTAATGATCCTCTCCTTTAAAGAGGCTGGCATCACTCCCTTCTCTTATGATTCCTGTACCTGGTTTAAGACCTCCTGGACCCAGCCTGATACCTCCTCCTCCTCCTCCTCCTTACTGGACGTAATAAGCCACGAAGTGCACAGGGCAGGCATGCAGGTGGCCAGGTAGACTTGGCCAAGCACCTTGTCCATATCCTCAGGCCTCAACAACAAAGACTCATCCAGTAAAACTTGTAATGGAACAGCATCCATTTTGACAGCATTAGGAACGTGCCAAGGTCCATAGCCCCCAATTACGACTGTGCATTCTTCCCTATTTTTACTGCACATCTTTCCTAGTCTCTTGGTATGTCTATTCATTGAAATATTGTCAGGATCAATTCCTTCCATAACGGGACACATAATCTGATTTTCCAGATGTTCCCAAGGATGTCCAAGTTGGCATTTTAAATGATTTGCCCTTAAAAGAAGGAGATAACATCACACTGAACTGTTCTGTGGGCAGCAGTATTCCCAAGGACAACTGGTACAACTGGGTGAAGTCAGATCTCCACAGCAACGAAATGACCTATAGTGGCCCCAAGCTGTTGACCTTCCCTGCAACACCTGGACCAGGCGTCACATACCGCTGTGAAGCATGCAACGTTCTGGGCTGCTCTTCATCTCCACCCATCCCTGTGGATGTTCACTGTGAGTGATGCCTTTCGTTTGCTCCCTTATCCCAAAGCAGCCTTCACTGGGAAACAGAGCCTGCTCACCGGGACTGGGAGAAATAATGGGGTGCATGTACTCCACATCCCCAGTCCATCCAAGCTACATGGCCCAGTGCGCAGCACATGCGTCTATGCCAAGGCAGGAGTTGCACAGGGGGTACAAGTACCACAGGCTCACTTATTAGTCATTCGATTTATATACCCCCTTTTCCCCAATGAACTCAAGGCAGCTCATATTATTCTCCTCCCGCTGCCCTCAATCTTATCCCCACAAAAACCCTGTGAGGCAGGTTGGGCTGAGAGCCTGTGACTGGCCCAAAGTCACCCCATCAGCTCTGTGACTGAGCAGGGACTAGAACCCAGACCTCCTGAGTCTCAGACCTACACTCTTAACCACCGCACCACACTTATGATGCAGGGGATGATGCCCTGTTAGTGTCGGCAGAGCCTTTTGCCATATCAGCCCATTCGTGACCGGAAGAGACAGTGTGGATGCCACAAGTTTGGATGTCAGATGTGTTTCATTTAAAAAAAAAAAAGCTTGGAGCTTGCCTGTCAAAATCACACAGCACTGTTGCTTGCAAGTCATGCAAGAAGTCCACTGAAGCAAAAGGCTGTGGGAAATGTTTTGACGCTATTGAAAGTCAGCATGACTCTTGGAGGTCAAGCGGCATGCTCATCTTGCTGCCTTCACATTCTCGCACTGGAACCAGCATGCCGTAGGTTCCTTCTTGCAATCCATTGCCTGGCAAACGGGGATGCCTCCACCTGATGTTTCATTTTCTCTTCCTGCAGTTGCCCCCAAGGAGGTCAAAATCCAGCAAAAGCCAGCAGGGCCCATTCATGAAGGCAGTCATGTTAAGCTGAGCTGCCAGGTGGGGCCAGCAAACCCCCAGAAGGTTAACTACACATGGTACCACAATGGAGACCCGCTGCGGCTGGACCATGCAGATGAAATGCTGATCATCTCAGGAGCAGTTTTAGAGCATTCTGGAAGCTACTGGTGTGAAGTCAGCAACGACTGGGGCTCAAAGCGCTCCCCAAAAATCGTGCTGCATGTTATTTGTGAGTGAGAACAACAGTTGCAATGCATCTGTGATAAGACTTAAAAGCCTGATTCCTTTGTTTGAGTGGCTCTTTCCCATCCTGTAATGAAGTGTTGTTGTTCAGTTACAAAGTCATATCTGACTCTTCATGATCCCATGGACAACATTCCTCCAGGTACTCCTGTCCCCCACTATCCCCTGGTGTCCACCCAAGCTCACACCCACCACCCCAGTGACCCCATCCAGCCAACTAAACCTCTGCTGTCCCCTTCTCATTTTGCCTTCAATCATTACCAGCATCAGGGTCTCCTCCACTGAGTCCTTCCTTCTCATTAGGTGGCCAAAATATTTGAGCTTCATCTTTAGTATCTGCCCTTGTAAAGAGCAGTCTGGGTTGATTACCTTTAGGATTGACTGGTTTGATCTCCTTGCAGTCCAAGGGGCTCGCAGGAGTCTTCCCCAACACCACAATTCAAAAGTGTCAGTTCTTTGGCACTCAGCCTTCCTTATGGGCCAGCTTCCTTATGGTCACAGCCATGCATTGCAACTGGGAAAACCATGGCCTTGACTATACGCACTTTTGTTGGCAGGGTGATGTCTGCTTTTTAGTATGCTGTCTAGATTTGCCATCGCTTTCCTCCCAAGAAGCAAGTACAAAACTGCAGCATCCTAGTTTCTATGTCTCTTTTCTAGCTACTAGAGGCACAAGCAGGGATGGGGGTTACTGAGAAATGATACCCACTTGTTCCCAGCAGAGTTTTGGCCTTGCTTCCTGGAGAGCTGAACCAGGCAGACTCAGGATTATAACTTTTTAAGGTCATCTGCTTTTGAAGCCGTGTCATTTGGCATTTGTTAAAATCAGGGAATTTTGCATCAACCATGTGAATGGCAACTGAAATGTGTCCACATTTCCCAGGTTAAATATTCCCACTTAAAAAGTTGAAGACCTAATGGATGACTGCATGCGGGGGCAAATTGTGGCCCAGAATGACACAAATGTTCCTGGCTTTCGAAAGAAAAGGTAGCACATTGCCTTCTGCTTGTACAGTGGAAGACTGCATGCTGGCTGGACTCACATGAGCGGAATCTGTGCCAGTGCCAAGCCAAAGGAGTAGGGATCTGAATTAGTTGAACTGGACCAATCCGCCAAAGTCGGGCCAACTCCAACCAGACTCCTCCCACGTCCCTAGTCTGTGTAATGATTCGGTGCTGACTCAGATGCTCCCTTTACCCCTTACTTGTAGAAGTGCTCTCTCTTAAGTAGAAGCACAGCTCTCTGAGTTGACCTCATCCTCTGATAAGATTGTTCGGATGGATTTTGTAGAAATCAGGGATTAGAGAAACAGATGTGTGATTCTGAGTTCCAAGGTTTACTATTTTATTTTTTGAAGATTCGTCTTGCAATTTGCAAAGGCATAGAACCTCATAAAAGCCTTCAACCTCATATTCAGTTCATGGAAATATCAACACTAACCGTAGCAGAAGAAACCTTTAGTGGTGTCCCTCAGATTGCACCTGGCATAGCAGAGTCCTTTATGTGCTATGAGTGAAGCAGGGTTGGGCAAAGACATTTTGATGAGGTGGAGAATAAGGCACACATAGTTCTGTCCTTCAGCAGCTCCCTGGCATTTCCCCAGCCCATTTCATTTGGCACCTGAGAAGGCTGGATCACTAATGTCCTTGCAGTGGGACATGCAAGTTCCCAGAAAGGTGCACAGAACCATGTGGAGCACTTGGTTTGTGGAGGGAGCAGTTGGCAGGAATAGTACTGGCTTTATCCTACTGCACGCAGTCTTGGAGGCAAGACTCATCCTTCATCTGCTCTAGCCATCCTTACTTTGATGCATCTGCTTTCAGCAAGCCAACAATATGCAGATTTTGCTGAGCATGAATTTCAAGCAAGTCCAGGGACACAGCAGGACAGAAGGACTGAAAGAAGAGGGAACAGATGGAGGGAGTGTCTGCCATAAGAACAAGAGACAGTTCTGACTTCAGACCCATGAGAACCAGGGTTGACTATAGGTTGACTATGGGTTGTTGCTGAAACACGAGTCTGAATCAAGACAAGATAGTAAACCATGGTGGATAACACACAGGTCATGACACAACAATAAGCCATAGGTTTCCTCATGGGTTATTCAGGGTTAACAACCATGGTTTGTTAGTGTGGTTATGTTCAGACAACATTTTACAGCATCCTGCAGTTCAACCCTTGAAAGTGGGCTATTGTCTGAACCTAGCCATTTTAGAAGGCGGCCTCTAGCTGATGAGTCTTAGGATGTGAACACCCCTGTCTGGACTGCTTGCTTTTTGCTGTGAGCATCAGGAATGCTCCCCCTCACACAGAGCTGCTTTTGAAGCACCTTTGTGCTGCTTCTATGGGGACAGTCCTTCAGCTGAATCTTCAGGAACCAGTGTTCTTAGGGCTAGGGGATAGCTCAGCATAGCCACCAGAAGCTGAAAACCCTGCCTGTTGGGTGGATAGCTCTAAAGCCAGCATCTCCTCCAAGGCCCCACATCCTTCTGAGATCATCCCAGGGTCTGCCCTAAGGGCACCAGGCTTCCATATTCTTATTCTGACACCGAGGAGAAATTCCCAAGGGAGTCATGACATTCTCTTGGATTCCAAAGCACAGGCCTATGTGGGTGTCTTCCTGGAGGGAGGGTGGATGACCGAGGGAAGAGATGGAACAGGGAGCAGATCCAGGAACTGACCCACGTTTCCCATGTGCTTCCCCATTTCAGGCATGCTGTGTAATGAAATCCCACTGAGCATAAGCCCCAGTTCACTGTCTGCCTGGAAAGGATCCTGTGTGTTGATTCCATGCCAAGTGGCTGGAAAGAGTGATGCTGGGCCAGTCAATGCCACGGCTGTGGCTTGGTATTTTGAGCCTGTTTCGGATTACATTTGGCACGACCATTTTGGCCGCCTTCTGTATGACAGCTCCAAAACCGCAGAGGAACACGCACAACTTGCAAGCCCTTCTTTCCAGGGCCGGGTAAAGTTTGTCGGGGATTTAAATAGAGGAGACTGCAGCTTGATGGTTACTCAGCTTCGGACAAGGGACAATGGCACATACGGGGCAAGAGTGGCTGCTTCAGTTGCAAATCATCCTTGGCAACTCAAATGGTTTCTTGCTGCCACTGTTCATATTAGAGGTAAGAGCGTTGCAGAGCAATTGTTATTTCTTCCTCACCCCAAATAAAATTTGTCTTTTGGTTGAGATGGAAATCCTTCTCTTTGGAAGCACCACCCTCAAGGTTTGAACTGACATCTTTCCATCCAGAATGACCCTAAGAATTCCTTCTGTTCTCAGAGTTCAGAGGTGAGTTTTGCTGTCTTTGTCAACCAAAGATACCTCCCTCTTGTGCATCAGTGGCAGTAGATTTGGCAGCAGATGGGTACTTACATACAAGTACAAAACCTCAAATTGTGTATAAGCACAGAAAATTGAGATATAATAGTTACCGCTAACAGACTTATTTATTTATTTTGAACTTTTTTCTCCTGTCTATATCCAAACAGATCTCTAGAAGGCTTACAGAAGGACAAAAACCATAATGGCACTTAAATAAAACATAGTTCGCACTATATATAAATATATAGAAAAGAACTATCTGACTGCTAAACAACTGGGTGAATAAAAAGGTTTTGGAGCCAAGTGGGTAAAGTGTTGGTCCAAGGCACACCTTTCTGGGAAGCAGGTTCCACAGACTTGCCGGCATCTTGCCTGGGTCTCATAGACTGGGGATTCAGCTGCTCCAGGACTGAGCTGGGACTTTTTGGTTGGAAACCACACCATGAGGCTTTGACACTAAACAAAAATATGTAGCATGGCAGCCAGGAAAGGGCTTCATTTCCTGTCTTGCCCCCAACCAAGGCCAAGTGATAACTCTGCAGGCAATTAGCCACATCAAAAGGTCCACAGGTGACATTGCTGGTCCAAGCCATCTTCCCATTGGGTGAGCTCTCCTTTGCCATCAACCGTCCAGCTGCCTCTTGAGAGGCATTTTCTTCATCTGAAGAAAAATCATGCACTTCTTGTCATGGAAGTGTGTAACTGTCAGTGGGCACAACTCATGCAGGCTAGTTAGAAACCGGGTCCATGTATTCTTTTCTTCTGTGCTCTGTTTACCTCTGGAAATAATATTTTACCATGTATTTTAAAGCATGGTGGAAGAGTGGTGAAGCTGGCTGGTTCTTTTAGGCCAAGGGTGGGAAGATCAGGGGTCATCTGGCTTGCTGGTGCTTGTTGAACTTTTAACTTGTGCAAGGCTCTGATCAGGAAGTAAGCCTGGCTGAGATCAAGTTCACAAATGCTGAGGAACTCTAGCAGCTTCTGTGTGCAAAGTATTTTATTTTTTTGCATGAAGCATGCCATACCTGAAGTCACACATGCAAAAGCAGAAGGTATGCAGACGGCACGTACACGAAGTGACTGTGTGGGCTGTATTTATTTATTATTTATTATATTCCACCTTTTTCATTTAAGGAACTCAAGAAAGCTCACATAACTCCTCTTCTCCTTCTCCTCTCATTCTTATCCTCACAACAATGATCCTATGAGGTGGGTCAAACTGAGAGTCATCTCACTAGCTCCATGGCTGAGTGGGGGCCAGAACCCAGATCTCCTGAGTCCTATCCTGGCACTCTTAACCACTGCACCACACCTGAACTCACTTCCTATGGGATGTCCAAGTGAATGCTTGGTGGAAGGTGAACGCAGGACAGAGGGAAAGCAGGCCTCCTCCTCCTCATCATCATCGTCATCATCTGTATCCTCTCTGTGTCCTCTCTGCTTGGGCAACAGCTAAGAAGAAGTGGCCCATCAGGCTCTATTTCCTCTCCCCTGTTTTCATTTTCCCCTTGAAACATCACAAACTCTGTTCATGCCAGGAAATCTGTTCTTGCAGAGATTGCATTCAGGGATGGGGAAGCAGAAAGAGGAAGTCCCTCTTGTTGGGACTTCCCCTTTTGCACTAGACTTTCAACTTTAGAATGAACCACACTTGCCCCATGGCCAAGACTTCCCTGAACCCAGAACCTGCACTGGCCATAACAGAAGCTATCACATAGGATGATAATGTGGACTTGCCCACCTTTGGGTGTTTTGATCAAGACGCCTGGTTCTGAGTCAAATCAAGCCGACCAGGCATACATTAATTTAGTGGTTTCATTGATTCTTCTCTCCAAAGCTCTGACTGGCATATTCTCTTTCATTCTCCTGAAATAGAGTCACCTCCAAAACCCAGGATGGATGTTATTCCTGCAGTAATCCAAGAAGGGAGGGCAACCCAGGTGATCTGTTCAATACCTTACGATTGCACCAGTGAGTCCATTACACTGACCATCACTGACACGAAGGGGAATCGTTTGTCTTTGGAAAATGCCACCATTGAAAACAGAAAGCTCCAGGCTGTGCTGAGCTTTGAAGCCACCAGAGAGGATCATCGGAAAAAGCTGAGATGCTCCTTGAAGGGCAAAGATTGGGCAAAGGTTACTCACAGTACCCTGGAACTGGACGTGAAATGTGAGTGTGCACTGGGGAAGAAACTAAGCACTTTGGACTTAGTGCCATCACTGTAGGGCCTTTGGACAAAAGTCCAGGGCCCCCTCAGCAGAATGAACAGGAGGGTCTCCAAACATGGCTGCCTTATCACACTTTGCAGCAAGTGAAATAATGCACATGGCCATCATCCAGATTCTAAAGTGAGCTAGCTATGCTACTGGCTTTCATTTTTTCAAAATAGCACCAACCACATTCTGCCTGTTGTGAGCAAACTGCAATTAGTGTGAGAAAAACCATATCACTCCAAACGCTGCTTCCCTTTTGCTGGATATTGTTCCGTTGCAGTTCACTGCTTTCAAAGCGCAGATGGGAAACCATGTAAGATGCTGGTGCAAGATACCATCTTTGAGTCAGCCTAATTTGTTTGGACTTCTCATTTTACTGTGAACTCGTCTGAGTCACACTTGCCCAACCCATGTGCAGACCTAGGCGCAATCATGCTTGGATGCATTAGGATGGTTTCTCATGGAAATTAATTACTTAGCCCAATTTTGTGATTCTGAGACACGGTTACTCTTTTGGCTGTATCTCCAATCAGGCAAGTGACCTCCATCATGCACAACAGGTGCTCTCCTACTGAGTCAGGGCCCCTTCATTTGTTCCAATGTTCCCTTGAGCTGTGATCTGACCCATGGATCTGATTTTCCAGTTGCTCCCAAGAATGTCCGGGTTTCCTATGTAAACAATCATCCTCCCATAAAACAAGGGGATGCTGTCATGCTGCGTTGTGAAGTGGGTGAACAGAACCCAAGAAGCATTTGGTACAACTGGCTCAGGTCCAGTTCCCATACTGTTGAGATGCTGCACAGTGGCTCCAAGGTACTGGCCTTCAGCGCGACAAAAGGACCCGTCTTTTCTTACACATGTGAAGCCTGCAACGTCGTTGGCTGTGCGTCGTCTTCAGCAGTCACTGTGGATGTCTACTGTGAGTAACACCATGTAATTTACTAGCTGCAAGCCTTGAAGGGTACAGCGCGTGTTCACCAAGAGAGCGAGGTTGCGGGGGTGCCGGGGAGGCAGGGATATTCCTTCCACATGGCTGATCCATGCAAGCTACTTGGCACCAGCGCGCAACCTGTGCAGGCTTTCTTTCCGATTATGACACGGCTAATGCAGCAATGAGCAAAACTCCCCGGAGAAGCCGATCATGCTAGGGAAAGTTGAAGGCAGAAGAAGGAAAGGAAGACCAACTGTGAGCTGAGTTGCCTCTATGAGCTGGAAAGCCACAGGCTTGAATGTATAAAAGCGGAGCAGGGCTGTCACGGACAGGGCTTTCTCGAGGGCTTTCATTCAGAGGAGGGCCATAAGTTGGAGCTGATTTGACAGCACAGAGCAACATTGCACAGCTAACGCAGGGAGTAACATCCTGCTGGTGTATGCAGGGCCTTTAGCAGCATACGCGCATCTGTGGCTGGCAGATGCAAGGTCAGTGTCCACGGTTTGGTACCTTTGTGTTTCATAAAAGCTTGGAACTTTCTGTGTGGAAGTTGTGATCCGTTGTCTGTTAGAATGTACACAAGGAAACCGACTGAGGCAAAATTACTTGGAATAATATTTTGGTGCTATTTAGAAGTAAAGGGTGATTTAATTGGTAAGCATTCCTTGGTGAGCAGGTACTAGGAACAAGGCGATTACATGTAACATGCATGCTTTGGTAGCTGATAAGTGAGATGTCTCCTTAGCCACCTGGATTTTCTGCAATGGAATAGACCTGCAACAGATCGCTCAGTGCTGCAAATTTTTGCTTTTACCTGGATTGTGTGGATGTCACCATATGATGTCTGTTTTTCCATAACCTGTCTTACAGTTGCCCCTGAGGAGGTACACATTTGGCGCGAGCCAAAAGGACAGCTCCATGAAGGCGATATTGTTAAGCTGAGGTGTGAAGCGGGAAAGGCAAATCCCCAGAATTTCAGCTACGCGTGGTACCATGATGGGCGGCAGCTGGCGCTGGACTCTGCATCTGAAATGCTGACCATCGATTTTGTGCTTTCAGGCCATTCTGGTAGCTACTGGTGTGAAATCAGCAACAGTGTGGGAACATCACGCTCCCCAACAGCCACGCTGAATGTTATTTGTGAGTAAGGGACAAAGAGATAGAAACAGAGAAACAGAGCAAGTCAGAAGGGGTCTCCTGGGCCATCTAGTCTGACCTCCGGCTCCAGCCAGGTCTGCTCACAACATGCCCACCATGTGGACATCCAGCCTATCCTTGAACACCCGCACCGATGGGGCCTCAACGACCTCTCGTGGAAGCCCATTCCACACCCTCGGGGTCCTGAATGTCAGGAAGTGCTTCCTGGCATCCAAATAGAACCTTGGCTCCCTGAGCTTTGCTCTGTTGGAGCATGTCCTGCCTTCCTCTTCAGGGGAGAACAGGTCTCTACCCATCTCCGTGTGACATCCCCTCACATACCTGTATGTCACCAACAGATCCCCTCTGAGTCTCCGCTTCTCCAGGCTGAAGAGACCCAGTTCCCTCAGTCTCACCTCATACGGCATCCCCTGCAAACCGGCCACCAACCTTGTGGCCCTACGCTGCACTGACTCCAACCTGGCTATATCCTTTCTGTAATGAGGGGCCCAAAACTGAACACAATACTCCAATTGCGGGCGCACTCAAGTCGTGTAGAGTGGTAGTAATACCTCTCTTGATCTAGAAGCCACACTTCTGGCTATGCAACCAAGGGTGGCGTTCGCCCTCTTGACCACCACATCACACTGCTGACTCATGTTTAGCCTGCAGTCACCCAGTAACCCGAGGTCCCTTTCACAAGTGCTGCTCTCCAGCCACTTGTCACCTAACCTGTACTTATGACACCTATTCCTATGCCCCAAGTGCAAGACCTTGCACTTATCCACACTGAATGCCATCCTGTTGTCTCCTGCCTACTTCCATAGTCTGTCCAGACCCTTTTGGATCTGGAGTACCTGCTCCTCAGTTGTGGCCACTGCTCCAGTTTTAGTGTCGTTTGCGAATTTGATCAGCAGACTGTTCACCCCTTCTTCCATGTCATTAATGAAAAGATTAAACAGGATCGGCCCCAGGACAGAGCCCTGGGGGACCCCGCTTGTCACTGGTTGCCATCCCAGTGATTCCCCACTATTGGTTACCTTCTGCTTTCGGTCAGTCAACCATGCCCTAATCCACCGGACAGTGCTTTGGTGTATCCCAGAACTCCTCAGTTTCTCCACCAGGATATCATGGGGCACTTTGTCAAAGGCCTTGCTGAAATCCAGGTATATCACATCCACTGCATCCCCTCCATCTAGCCATCTTGAAACCTTGTCATAGAATTCCACAAGGTTTGTCTGGCAGGACCTGTTTTTAT